TAGTTCAGACTTCAGATAAAGATTCCGATAAACCTAGTACATGGGTTATAATTGATACTGTTTATTCAGTAATATGGCCAACAAGACTCCTAATGTTTAAGATATCCAATTTTCTTCATACATTCGTTATGTGAAAAACCAGTTAATACTGGAATAGTGTTTTGCCAGAGGTACCGTAAATTAGATAGATATATAATGACACATCCTAAAAATCTTAGTGTTACACTATTAACTTCATCTCTAAAAGAAAAAAAGGTGTTATTGAAATACCATAACTGTTAAAGATTTATAGGGGTAATTATTGTCGCTAACGAAAAAGCATATCAGGGGATTCGATTTTTGACCTCACTGACTTCAGTATGTTAATACATCAATGTTTAATGAAACACAGACGCGATTTATATTATATTTCAGAACGAGTACGAATACCATGTAGAAGTTTTAAGAAGACCAGATTGTTACACATTAAAATGTGCTAATTTCTGCTAAATCTGAACAGTAGTGTTGAAAACAGAAATGTGATAGCGCCCGTTTAGTTTAGTCTCTGCTTCATTTTCATTTGCCAGGCTGACAGAAAATGGTATCGTGGACGGAGTAACTTTACCAATAATTTTATTGACGTTAAATGTAAATTACCATACATATCAGTTACGGAGTAACTGATATGTTGTATGTAGTTAAGCAGTTTGAGTATTAATCATTCGGAAAACTTCCCGTACATGTCAACCAAGAGTACAGTAAAATAAGTATACGGAGTGGTTACCTTGACGGAAACTAAGACACTTATCTATGGCAAAAGGTGCGGAAATCTAAAATAAGGGAGATATAAATTTTCATTTATTCCTTTTCCTACATTTGCCGTAATGAACGCTGGTTGTTCTCACATACGTATATAGATATGGGAGATGGAACTGAATTCATGGAGACCTGACTGCTGCATTTAGCTTGTCGCTTAATGTTTTGAATTGGATGTGTGTTGCTGGCATATACAATATGTTCTAACGCTGCTTAACCTTTAGTACAGTTTTGTAGAGAACATTTTTTTTTTTTGCCACAGAATTTATATTTCGTCTTTCACTGTGACATCTTGTTCCTCTCTAACACTACAAGTTTTACCTCGATTTACCTAAGAAGTAGTTGTAAATAATTCTTTGGTTAATGGCAATCAGAGTACGATAATGTCACTCCTTTTGTACTTTGTAATTGTTCCAGTTTATCTATTTTCCTCATTTCAGTACAATACCATTTGATTAGGATACTGAACTTCCTCGGGGGCTTTGGCACAAATCCTATTATAATTCTGCTGTACATAATCTCTGGGGATCCTATTTTAACTCTATTATTATCTTTATTATTAATGTTGTTGTTATTGCATGTAAAGGGTTTACGTGCATTGCATGTACTATATGATTCTGGTTTGGTGATAAGCGATTGTTAATACAATTGGTTTCTAATATTTATTATTTTATTTATATTATGTGAGGCTGTATACCCCCATCTGTCACGTGTAAACTAGGTGGTTGGTCATTTTGCCACTGACCTTACTTGATTTAGCAGTACCTTGCACCTGCGCGTGAGATCTCTGCGTTTATTTGCTTTTTATATATATTATGATATTCTTTTCACATTGTTGGTGATACAGTGGTATTGGCATTATTTCCATGCATTATTTGCATGTGATACCTGGCAATTAAGCCAAGATTTGCGATGCATGTGCAACACGCCCCCTTCTCTGACCAAGCCGTGTTTCAAGAGCTTCCACCCATGCGATCGTGATTTACCAATATGGTTATGGGTTGTGTAATCAATATGGAATAATTTGAGTATGTTAAAACTGTTATGTATATCCCTCCAAATTAAGCCTGATAAGACATCTGAGAATTATTAGACCATTGAAAAGAAAATCGGCACATTGTATTTAATTTTGTTGTTGTTGATGTTATTATTTGTTATTACTATCATTATTATTGTTTTTGTTATTATTATATTTATTGTCACTGTCATTTATAGTATTATTACCATAATTATTGTTATTATTATTATTATTATCATTATTATCATCACCGTCACCATTACTATCATCATCATCATCATCATTATCATCACCATTATCATCATCCCCATCATCATCATCATCTTCATCATCATCATCATCATCATCATCATCATTATCATTATCATTATCAATATCGCTATCATTATCATCATCTTTATCATCATAATTAGTACATGTTTTCTTCGAGGCAACTGCACAGCATTGAAGTAGTTAGACCGTCAGTTTATGCAGATCACTTTCCGAGGGGGAGGTTAAGAATGGAGGTAAGAGGGGAGGGGGGGGAAGGAAGGGGAAGAGGATAAAAGGAAGGGGAGATGGCTTAAAGAGAAAAGGGAGATGGGGAATGGAAAACAGAGTGGTTATATGTCTGCATATAACCAACAACATATAAAAAAAAAAGAAAAAAAAAAGAAAAAAAAAAAAAAAAAAGAAAAAAAAAAAAAT